CATGTGTGATCCTACAGAAAGCTTGTCCTGAGCATAGAATGTGCAAAAGCAGACATGGGTCTTCCGGTTGTGGTTGCAGAGAAAGGTCATTTGTCTGTCAATATAAAATGAAAGCAACTGCGTCTGCTTTTTGGAGAACTTCTCAGAACTGTCTGTGGAGAGTCTCCCCGAGCTCGCATAGAAAGATATCTCAATAAATGAAACCAAGCTAAACCATTGGACTCATCTGTTGCTTCCTACCTCCAAATTTCCATAACACATGGCACAGCCCTACAGAGTGCAACACGTGGGTGGATCAGTCATGGTTTGGGCTGCAATATCATGAAATTCCGTAGGCCCAGTACTTCTATATGAGCACATCACTGCCAAGGACTACCGAATCATTCTCGAGGACCATGTTCACCCAATGGGTCAAACAATGTACCCTAAGGTGGTGCCGTGTGTCAGGATGATAATACACCAATACACCAATACACACAGCAAGACTGCTAACAGAAAGGTTTGATGAGCATAAAATCAGTCACCAGGGGCCTCATGTATAAACGGTGCTTACGCATGAAAATGTTGCGCACGCCCGTTTCCACGCTCACGTCGAGATGTATAAAAACTAAACTTGGCGTACCGCCACGCACATTCTCACTGCAACCCCAGACAAGGCGTACGCAAGTTTCTGCTCGATTTGGCAAAATGGAGGCACCTACTGGCAAAAGAGTGCTATTGCAGTTTCACTGTGTCAGACTCGCATTCATGACGCGGTCTGCATGAAATACACCGAAATTATTTGGCCATCGGTCACCTGATCGTAATCAATCTGTGACAATAAAATGGTGCAGGGAAAGACAAAAAATATTCCAACCATGGCTGCTCTTGCATTGTTAGAGGATATTGCAAATGGAAGAGTCAGAATAGAGCTCGTATTCAGGGATCATATACTGATTTCCTGGCCCATGATGATGACTGGCTTCTAAGTCGATTCAGATTTCCAAGAGCAATCCTTTTGGAGCTGTGTGCTAAACTGGGGCCAGCATTACAAAAGCAGACGATGAGGAATTGCGCTATAGGCTACCTGTTCCTTTACAAGTTCTGTCCACTCGCGGGTTCTTAGCCACAGGTGCTTTTCAGCGAGAACTTGCAGACTGATCGGGTATTTCTCAGTCAACACTGAGTCGCGCAATGCCGGTGTTATGCCGAAAAAGGCATCCCTGCCTTAGAATGCATGCCGGTGTTCCGACAAGTTTAGGTTTTTTAGGGTTTTTTGGGGGTCAGGAGTTTTTTAGGGGTTAGGGTTAGGGTTTTAGGGATGTTAGGGTTAGGGTTTTAGGGGGGTTTTGGGGGTTATGGTTTTAGAGGTTTTTTGGGGGTTAGGGTTAGAATTTTACTGGTTTTTGGGGTCTATTGATTAGCACTACAGTAGCCTTACTCGACAAAGTAGCTCAACTCGTTTCAGATCAGCGACCAATCGGTCATTTAGAGACAGGCATGCATTCTACGGCAGGGATGCCTTTTTCGGCATAACACCGGTGTTGTATCGGACGGCAAAATCTGCTTGTCACCCAGATACATGGGCGTAATTTCCAGGGGGGTCATGACCACCTCCCCCCAATAATCATGTTTCCCCTGTCATGGGTGGAGACTTCCACCCCCCCCAATGTTCCAGCCAAAGTTACGCCCTTGCCCAGATATATAAAATTTCCTTACACTGTGGTTGAACAGGCAAATATTAAAGTGCAATTTGCAGCGATGTCCGGTTTTCCCAACGTAGACGAAGCTATCGACTGCGCGCACATTGCTATTAAGTCACCTTCAGAGAACGAATTTGCTTATGTAAATAGAAAGCACTTTCCCTCTATTAATGTACTCTATTAATGCATTGGGGGCACCTCTTGTATTGTTGTCTGTAAGAATAAACAAACAGAATAAACGAAAGTAACACCGCATCTGCGCCCTACGTGTTATTCATAAACATGCAAGTAATTCAAAGAAGTATGGTACACGAAAAACTCACCCGCAATGACATCAGCGTCCCCCTCACCCGATAAAAGTGTGTCCCCAATCATCGCAGCAACTAGTTGCTCAAAGGGTGTGAGACCGGGAATTCCGCTACCTCCGCCTGTGCTGTTAAGACTCTTACAGTGAGCGGCCGCTCGTTTTTTCACGTCGATTTTAATGTCCGACCACTTCTTTTTAATTTCGGCCACCGTGCGAATTTTGGAACCAACACTTTTAACTGACTCCGCCACGCTGTGCCACTCCGTCAACTTTCGTTTATTGCTGATGCCACTTATACCACCAAATAATATCACTTTTCTTTTCTCGATTTCTGTTAACATGACCTCCACTTCGCACTCGCAGAAATACTTCTTTTTCCCTCGTGGTTTGTCCATTGTTGTTTAAGAAAAACATAGAACAAAGCGGGCATTTATACAGATTTACATATGCAAATATACATAAATATGGGCGGGTCGGGGGAGTGGCTGTGGGCTCGTTCACGTACGTAAAATTTCACGCTCATTGGGATTTATAAAGGGAATGTGCGTAGATCTGTGCTTACGCACAGTTTTATGCATCTGGATTTTTTCTTGCTTACGCACATTCCTAGTTTTGTCCGTACGCCATGTTTTAGTGTGAATTCTACGCACGTTGTTATACATGAGGCCCCAGATCTGAATATTATTGAGCCACTTTGGGGTGTTTTGGAGGAGCAAGTCAGGAAAGGTTTTTCTCCAGCAGCATCATGTAGTGACCAGGGGCCTCATGTATAACGACGTGCGTAGAATTATATGTTGCTATGATTTGTATCTGCCATTCCCAAGATGGATTGATTGACCGCAAAAAGAGGCTCTACACCATACTAATAAATTACTGTGGTCTAAAACCAGGTGTTTCAATTTCATTGTCCAAACCCTTTATACATACACATACACGTATACATACACGTGCACACACACACAAAATTAAAATTATGTTTTTTAAATCCATTCAATGCAAATATGCAAATACCTTGCTGATTATTTCTGGTCCAGAAATCCTGAGATTGCAATGGCCAAAACAAATTCAATATGAACATATAACAGATGTACAAACATGCTGATATACTTACATGGGAATAGTACTACAACCAGTGGAACTATCAATACAGTTAGCATTTCTTTGCTCACTGTGGCTGTGAGATATTTCGTGAGGTACACACCGACAGCAGCTGCAATGAGAAAAGAATACTGTCAGTCATCATGGCATTCATGTCAGATACAAAAACCAATGCATTTAAAACCCTGCACTGCACAGGGGCTCTGGGTCTGAATCCCATTTTGGACATTGGGGAAGTGAAAGTACTTCCCAGTTTAATAAGCATATAAAAATTATTTATGCAAAAGTAACAAGGATGTAGCGGGGCACAACACAGTACATATATACATACACACAGACAGATACACACACATACACGCACACACATAAAACGATAACAATAATTAACACAATATAATTTTCCTCAATATCAATACAACAAATGCTCAATAAAAATATTTATATTAATTTGAGACCCAAAGTGTTGCCAGCAACACGTTTTGCATCACAAGGAAATTATGTCACTTTCTCTGTGGCTGTTTGTGAGGACCAGCAATGAGGCACAAGCACAGACACAGCCATAAAAATACAAGTGGAGATTTTATTGAACAAATGAGAGAATGTAATAGGCAGACAATGGCAAACCTGTTCAACTTCTACCTCTACATGATTTGTGAAATGTGAAATGCTGTTTGGCAAGTGTTTGTTATGTTCTGATCATAAAGAATAGTTTAAAACCACAATTAACCATCTGGTTTCTTAAAATTTCACTTAGGAAGAAATATTAATTAATAAAATTAATTTAAACTGGAAAGAATTAATGATTTGACAATTGTCGTGATAATTGTCGATATCAATTTATATTAAATTTTATCGTGAAGACATTCTTGGCCATACTGCCCAGCCCTGTGACCAGCTTAATTTCACTATCCTTGGTTATGGAATCAGATGCTGGAAAAGCTGCCCACAAATGGAAAAGCTGTACAATGAAAAGGTGCCCACACCTTTTCATTGTACCCCATGTACAGCATGTAGTGTTATTTCTTAAATTATTCGGGGTTCCGTCACACATGCAAATTTAACGGTTTTTAATAAGGTAGAAGCATAATGGCTGTAAATAATTTGACTGAAAAGTAATATCAATGACTGCTCTTCCATACTGTAACTAAAAGAGCAATATGACTGCACACATTATTTTAACTTTTTAATATCGAGTTTGTGGTGTTATTCTAATAATCATTTATTGAACTGCACACACATGAGCTTAGAGATAAATCAATTTTATCCATTAACTGGAGTTTTTGCTTTAGAATTATGTGTAAAAATCAAAATTGCGATTTACTGAAAACGTGCATTTACTTTAGCAGCATGACAAATGGGGTCTGGGTTATACTCATTCATTAGTCAATCACCTCAGTTTAACATAGTTGAGGACGGAGTCAGAACATGGTTTAGTTTGGCTCCAGAGCAGGGCCAGTCTGACATGCTTTCAGAGCAACGATTTATGCATACCCAGTCTAACTTAGGAATTTATGTCAAAATTTCCTGGAATTGATGTCTTCAACATTATGTTATTTTTGATAAAGAATTCATTTTAAAATTTGCATTAGAAAAGTGCTTAGGTTCTCACAACAATTGTATTGCTTCAAAGGCATTTGAAATAGCAATTACTTTGAAAATGTGTATTAGCCTAAAAAACTGTGACACATAGTTTTTGAACTGTTCAGGTGGTGATTCTCATTTAGTCGCATCAGGTACTAATAGGCGGTGAAATTTTGGATAAATAGTAATGTCAAATTGGAACCGTGATGTAGACTTGAAACTAGACTCGGACTCTAATTTTGTGACTTGTGAACATCTCTGTCTTATACATTACAATATAGAAAATAAGCTCCTCTACATAATGCCTTTCCAGATATCTTCAAATTGTAAAACAAACATATTTATGAATGTGGAAACATACTTACTTGCAAATGAAATATGGATAATCAGAAAAACAGCTATGCTGCCCAGCATTTTCTTAAATGTGCTCAGTGTTATGTCCTTAAGAAAAATGTAGCCAACTGAAAGGATGGAAAGAACAGGATTAGGCTGCGAGAAGTTCATGCTAGGCACATGTACATACAGTACTGTAGGTTAGGGTGTGCCCAGATCATAGAAGTGTAGGATGGGACATCGGAAACTACCCTAGTTTATGGTGTAAATGTGGACTGAGTGGAGTCTGAATGAAAGATCTGAGAATCTATGAATTTGCAGTAGTTAACAAAGTCACTTGTATCTGTACATCTCCATACAGGCTCTCTTTTCTTATGTTAACGTAATTGTATGGGAGAATAATATCATAATCGCAAGTCACCTGTATCATTAGTTTTCCAGGGTTATTTAATTGTGTTTTACATCTGTTTAATGAACAAAGAAACATTTCTGTAGCTAATTCCGCCCCTGACCTCTAAAAGTACTTACCTTGCAAAGAAACTGTAAAGATCATTGTAGTTATAAATACACCAACAAAGTATCCTAGTACTACTTTCTCAGCGGTGTATGTGGAATAATTTGTTGTAAACTCAATGATTGCAACTGTAAAGAAGTAAGAGTAGAGTTAGTCATGACAAAAGACATGGCACAAAAACAGATATGTTCAGTGGTCCTATATAATACAGTTTAAAATGGGTTATAAAAGAAATGCTTCTTATTAATGTTGCAAATTATACTTTCAAACATCTAAAGAGCAACTGTAAATAAGAAAAAAGGTAACAATTCATTTGGATAGTCCACTTACAAAAGGTATAGAGAAGTATTTGTAGTATTTCAACAGCTTATTAGTTGACAGTCAACAACATCGACTATAACATTGACTGAGTAGTCAAATACAATTTAATTATTTTAGAAATGTAAAGGCATGTTCATGAATTGCTACATATACTCTGTGTACTGTATATTGTTTTAAACATCTAAAGACCCAGTGAAACAGCTGAATTGGTAACCCGCTGTCGGCAGACTATCCAAATAAAGTGTTACTGAAAAAATGCCAATCATACAAAACACAGACAGTTTGCTCCTTGAAGTCGTCTTCCTGTCTCCTCAGTCATTTTGCCTTCACAAGGTGCCCTTTGTGCTATGGATCATAGGGGGGAAACACCAGGGCCCAGGGGGGTATTTTTCATATTTGGATTACTGGTTTAGCTGAATGTAATTGTTGACGATTTGGCGTGATCCTGGATCTGTCGGTTTTTCTAAACTCTTGCTGGATGTGTTGTCATAGCAGCACATCCAAATCCTCAAACCTGCTCGGAGCAGGTTTGTTCTATGTAAACAAGGATTAACTCACACACATAATCAGTATCCATGCATGGAAATCCGTTCAGTAATGGCCTCGCCATTCATGAATGAGCAGCCAATTGATATCGGTGTGCAAATTATAAGAAGAGAATTCCATATAGAGATGGTTTTGTGCAATCGGCAAGATCCTTTATTGCTCTTTGTTTGCGAAAGATACCGCTTTAGCCGAGGGGGAATATTGTACCGTGTGTGTGTGTGTGTGTGTGTGTGTGTGTGTGTGTATATATATATATATATATTATTGCTGTCAAACGATTCAAATTTTTAATCAGATTAATCACAGGGTTGCTGTGGATTAATTTCGATTAATCACGATTAAATATCATTCATTTTTAATCTATATTAATCGCATTTCATTTTGCATGAGCAAACAGACTCAAGAAAAAAGGGAATATATATGCACTTAACATGTTTATTGAACATCTTGAACACGAGTCGGATGCATTCCATCTGCCACAGAAGTGCAATACCATGGACCCATATCAAAAAGCAAGATTTTTTGCTTAGCTGGACAACTTGTTGGATTTAAGGTACCTCAGTTTAAATGGTGTTTATCTTCGTTCACTTACAATTAGCCCGAACTACCGTAAATCCGACAAATAATCCGTCTAATCATGAAATCCAACTCTAGAGGGGTTAATTGCAATTGTTAGCAATATCAGTTAACACATTACGCGCGGTGCTTTACGTATAAAACTCCGTAGCAACATGTCCACAGATAAGTTGGACGGTATAGTGTGTGCGACCGATTTAATGAGCCACAAATGAGAAGTAGTGCTTAAACAGTATAAAACTACAACTTTCCCTTCTGTTGATAAAAGGCGCAGCCATCTTAGATTCTGAACTCGGGATCCTCTGTGCTGCTCTGAGATATTTCTTGGATCTCCGAGAAACGGGAGCACGCATGTCATCACTTCCGGCTTCAAAACTCGGAAACCGACTCGGAATAAGAGTTCCCAGGGCAAATGGAACGCGCCAAAACGGGCCAAAATGGGTTGACAGAGACATTTCAGGGATTTTGAGTCATTCTGCGCTGCAGATGGGTTATGTCACGTTCAGCTCCGAACGATCCTCGTGTGTGCCACGCCCCCTCATTACCTCATGTCTTCATATCCTTCTAATACAAGGTCCTGCTCCGCTTCTGTGAAAAGGTGTGCCCTTTCTTTCATCATTTTGTTGCAGCCTATCAAAGACTTGGTGATCATGTTTTCTACACTCGATATTTTTGGGCTTTTCAATCAGTTCGGGCGCGCGCAATCATCTTGGATGAATGGATCCAGCTAGACTAATCTACTGCACACCTGTCTTTGAAAAACCGACTTATCCCAGATGAGTTTTACTGACATTAACTCATCCAAGACTAAGATCTCGGATGATTGAAGTGACGTACGGAAAATACCCCCCAGTACTGGAGAACCGATTAGCTGATTTTTGCTCTAATTCTCATGTCTTTGTTTAATGTGTTGTTTTTCACCTTTCTGAATTTTACAGGGACCTGTGGCCTGAACAACGAAGCAGGCTTACTGCTTGTTGGACTTAAGGTACCACAGTTTAAATGGACTTCATATTCGTTTACTTACATTTTGCCCAGACTACCTTAAATCCGACAAGTTACCCCGATAAGCCAGTAACCCCACTCCATAGTACAGGCCCCTGATGTCTCCGGTGTGAATCGAGCCCTAATTTTAAAGCCTATAGTCCTGAGGCACAACGGGCATGCAGATGTCTGTTGCTATAGATGTACCACAGCACATATTACCAGTTACTGCTGGTTTCTTCTGTTCTAGTGCTGCTTAGTAAGCACACTTAAAAACTTACATATGCCTGCATAAATGATAAAGATTCCACTTCCTAGTCTGTGAGCCAGATCTTTAATCTTCCTTGCTATACCTGTAAAACAGGGAGTTTTATGATGAAACAATGCAGGAATGTCAGATCCCGCGCTTAACATCACAGGTCACCCTGGTAAAACAATTTGTGCTGTCAGACAGCTTTCAAATTTACATTGCCATCCATTAAAGCAGGGGTCTCCAACTCCAGTCCTGGAGAGCTACTATCCAGTACGTTTTCTATCCTACCTGGCTTCTGATGAGCCACACCTGGCCCTGGTATTTACCTGAGAGCAGGTGTGGCTCATCAGAAGCCGGGTATGATAGAAAACCTACTGGTTAGTAGCTCTCCAGGACCGGAGTTGGAGACCCCTGCATTAAAGGTTTCATTGAAACATTTATCAATCACATCTAGAAAAAATATAACAACATACAAAATATTTTCTGTTGCAATTTTTGTTTAAATGATTTGATAGTAATTGATTAATAATAATCTTACTCTGCAACACAGCAATAGAGAAATGCAGGGTGGCTCACATAAAGTAGCCCCTCACGTAAATTCTATTTGTTAAAATGTCAGGCTACTTTATGGGGCCACCCTTTGTTAATTCTTCTGCACTTCTTATGTTTTATTTTTCACATTTTCTTAGTAAACACATTGCTTGTCACCTTTTATCAGTGTATGCAGGAAATATAAGGAAACCATGGAAACAAATTAAAGTATGTAAACATACCAGTAAATAAATGATGTGGAATCAAATTAAACAACATCAGGACATTCAGCAGACTGATGGAGGCACAAGTAACGGCCTCTTCTGTGGATCCTGAGAAAAAAATTGTCATATATTAGGTAACACTGAGGGAAACTTTTCCTATTACAGTATCTACAGACACATCAATAAAATTGTTCCTCAGTCCAGTTTTTCCTGTTTGAATCTCTTCACAATTTTCGTCTGCTTTGCTGAACCTTCCGGTAGATTTTATCTAGGATAGACAGTTTGTTGGTATTTGTTTTAGTAGCATGCAGAACATATGGGTAACCTAAGCTCTGACAGTGCTGCAGAGTTAACCTTCCCTGCCTGGGGAATACAAATGTAAAATATTTTTCATGTTCTCAGTGGTCAATGGATTCTATTTTTTAACCTCCTTCACACTAACCATGAGCACAACTCAGGTATGGAATTTTACATAGAAACGTAAGACTTGGGGTAACCTGGTTTCTCCCCATACTGTCACACCCCGATCGTGCTGATCCTCCTGTGCCACGTCCCCCCTTGTTAACCTCATGTCGATTCCCTGTGTTTTACAGCTGTTTTCAATTGTCTGTATTAGTTCAGTGTATTTAAGTCCACGTCAGAGTTTGTTTCCTTAGTTCTGTCATTGCAGTGTCTTGCATTGCATTGTTGTATTGTCGTGTAGTTCCGTGTTGTTGTTTTTCCTTATGCCCTTGCATTTCCCCATTAAATCCTTTTATATAACCCCATTCCTGCTTTCCTTCGCCTGTTTCCCCGGTCTGTGTCCTACGTTGTATGACACATACACAGTGTTACAGTAAGCCTGGGTAATGCTTGTGGCAGTATCCTACTGAATAAAATAACATCATGCAGCAAAGTAAATAAATAGATAAATAGACAGCTAAATAAACAAACAATCATGAACTTTTCTGTGCATTTCTATGGGTTATTCTACATTACAGTATCTAATCAATATTCATGAGTGGGACACAGCCTTCAGCCAAAAAAAAATTAATAAACATAATGCGGTAAAAAAGTCAGTTTAAGAACAAAACAAACTGAAACATCAGTTTATTTGAGTGATAATGATGACAATGTGAACTGTTAAGATATTGATACAGACGGCAAAACTGAAATCTGTTTGGTAGCTTCTTACCTGCCCATTACCAGGTCACCCCAATCTAAAGGTACCTGTTGATCATGATTATCTAGACTATTTATGACTGTTTGTTCATGACAGTCTGGTGGAGAAAACAGTTGTTGAAATAAACTGCTATGCTGAACAGTCTTGGAAAAGTCAAATGAATCCATTTTCATGTAACAATCATTGGCAGCCTGTCACTGCAAATAACATGTGGGTGTTTTTCAGCCTTCAGATACCACAGGGTAAAGTGGCTAAATCATTGCAGCAATATGTCCACAAACCAGATGTTCAAAGCTATGATATGTTTTTCACTCATTAAGAATAACCTGCATTTTCTGACAATAAAGACTATGTTAAAGTCGGCTGTGTGTACATACATTTTTTTATATTCCATACAATCATGATGCCTGTCAAGGGGGAGGAATACTTTTGCAAGTCACTGTATTACTGTATTACTGCCCCCTCATCATTTTCCAAGATAGTAGCAAGCCAACACTGTAGGTTTCACCTTTCACAGTTGGTTGGCTTGGGCTACTGTGTGTTGATGGGTTGGGTATGTAGCATAATTGTTCATTCGAATTTCTTCAAATGATAAATTACATCACCACATGATAAAAATTCTGTAGATTAAGGCATAACGCATTATAGCCATGTTTATTATGCATTATGAATGCTCCATGAAGCTCTCATCTATAATGCATTATAATAAACACCACTACTCTGCCATTTAACATTCCTGCTTGGTAAATCTTACCAAATTTGACTGATTTATTAATTATACATTTGTGCTTCATGCACATAAGAGCTGTGTTTATCAACCCGGCACATTTTGTGTCCATGAAGATAATACCTATTTCTCACTCATAAAACAAGGAAAGTAACAAGAGGTAAAAAAATAACTTCATTTTAAGCGAATTATATTAGCAATGACTTTTTCTTTGCTACTTGTACAAGTTCATAGGAATCCATTGCTTCTTGCATAACTTATTTTGATCTTTGAGGCAATGTAAGATGAAATACACATTAATATCCTTACATCAATAAAGTGCCATCTCAATGCTTTCACATATAATGACAATCTCAGCTAAACTTCCTGATTGTGCTTCTTCTACTCAGCGCTGGGATTAATGAAGTGGCTTAACACAGTAACACGACTTGTTGTCCTACCTTAGAGTAATTCAGGAATTCATAAGCTGAATGTTTGTTAACTTTTGACAAACATACCACAGTAAACAGTTCTGAAACCAACAAGTCATTCTAATGCATGTTCAGTGGGGTTCACCTGTGAGCAAGATACAAAAGCCTAGAATGTTTGTTGGTCGGTTCACCTGCAGGTGGCAGTCTTGGTGTATCCTACCTCATTGCAGGTACATACCAGTTAGTTACAGTTTTACTCGATTGCTTTGGACAAATTCTCATATGAAAATGGTACTTCTCACAACCACATATATAAACCTGCACACCCTTATGCCAGTTTCTCACAACAGAATGTATTTTCACATTGTTTTTATTAATTTACAAATGACTTAGTTTCAGCTCTCATATGATTAGATATATTTACTTTGAATTAGTCCAAAAATCTGTTGTAATAGTCATGTTGTAATAGTCATGTCCAAAATGATATATGTGCTTCTCATTTGTTTACTTCTACTCTGCAAAATGGTTAAACATGTGTGCATGGTGCCAGTCATCACATACAAAAATGTTAATGCAGTGGTCAGAAAGGTTCCTTCAATAATGAACTGTATAGTTGAAAAATAGGTTTTATTGGATGATAAAATTGGCAACTGCTTGTCACCAGCCACACATTCATGTTTTGTTACTCACTGCAAGTGGTGACATCCCAGCAGATTCTTGTAGAGTGTGGCTAACGCATACAAGATTTTTTTTTCCTCGGTGTAATGCAAGAGAGCATATCAGATGTGATGTAGATGAAAATATGTGGCCAAACCAGCAGGAGCAACAGGACAACACATGATGTACAGTTGGCCTTCTTCATTCCAACATAGCTACCTAAGACACTGTGGAAATTTTTACTGTAACATAACTTAATTTTTTTCAAAGCTTCCAGATATAGAGAAATGATAATTAAGTAAATTGAGTAAACTGATCAATTTTAAATCTTAAATAAATTTTGACTAAACATTTTGACTAGTATGACTGTACGTAATGATACAAAGATTTCACATTTTGTCCAAAGCAATGAAAAAAAACTGTAAAAGCTTGGTTCTGTTATTCTCTTGTTAACTACCCTGGCTAAGAGTCGCCTGTATTTTTTCAGGAGGTATAAACCTCTATTTATTACATCCTTCAAGAAATGAGAGCAAATATCATCAGTAAGTACTTCCATGTAACATTTCCTTGAAGGCTCATTATGTTAGGTTTGGGTGATATATATACTGTATATATATTATTTTTTTTAATGGTACTTTAATGGCATTTTCAAAAGAGACGCTATTCCGGTATTTTCATATCTTGGTGTGGGTATGGGGGGTGGGTCACTCATAATAAATTTCACTACCTGGGATAAATGATATATATAGGGCATTTTTCCCCTACACCAGGTACCGTACTTTTGGTACTTCAGGGTGTTGGTTTTCCATTGGCGTAACTGGTACCAGCGCAGAATATCATCACAAATTCAGGCAAGGAATTTTGTACTGAATACGAAAAACGGCTGTAGTGTATTATAGGGCTGGATAATGTGCAATATTAATACCAACATTGCATGTTATGCACATACAATTCTTACATCACTAGTCAGCTACTGTAGATTAAGATCAGGCTTTTTTTTACTTTCAATTCTGTATGGACATTAGCGCAGGGGCTTAAAAGTTTTGCTAAAATATTTTTACTTTGTTATTTTGTCATAGGAAAAAAAACTCAGCAAGCTTTTCAATTTTAATTATTATTCCTTTCATATATTCTCATGTTTGAAAATCAGTTTAAAGTGTTACCTCCACTGCTTTTGCATGACCGCTGCATGTGTTCTCTGAGACAATCATCATCCCTTTCATCCTTGCCGTTTAAATCACTCGAAATTGGGGTGAGAGATATTTATGAACTCCTTTTTTGTTTTATAAAATACCCCAATATTTATTAGAACAAAATCACATTGCTATATTTATAACAAAATACTTTTTCTCATCCTTTTTAATTTCTTGTCATGCCATCTGGATTTTTTTGTTGTATATGTTCTTATGACCAAATCGCATTTTTTTTTTTACTTAGTTTCTCATTATCTTCTTATTTTGAAACTGTTTTAAAGGTGGTGTTTGTATTGTGTGTCAGAGGCAGACTATTTGCATAACCAATTGACAAAGAAAGCATTTCAAGTCCCACCCCAAAGTACCAAAGTAATACCCCAGCTGGTTTGGCACTTTGGGTACTGGAATTTTTGGTACTCGTACTCGACCGGAAGTCAATGGAAAAGCGAAAGTACCGAAAGTAGCGTACCAAAAGTACTGTACTTAGCGCCCGTAGTTAGATTGGGAGGTATAAGATTGCAGCTTAGTACTGCCCAAAATTTACATTATACCTCATCTAATGGGATCCCGTGTGTAACTACAGGCTGTATAAAGGTGAGGGAAGCAGCAGATAATCCAAAGTCTTATTCTATGGCTGCATTTGTAACATGAGCTATTGTCCATAAATCAGTTAGTATGTCCACATTTTATAAACTCACCTTCAGTTACGCCCCACAGGGTGAACGCTATGAAAACCATGACGGATGGAACTATGATGTATAAACAGTGATACAACACAGGTTGTATTATTTCACCTATAAACAGAAAGTATACAGAAACTTAACCACATACTATTTAACATCAGATTCATTCAAACTTCAACATTTGCATTTAGCAAGCACTTTATTAACCAAAGCAACATACAAATGAGACAACAGGGTCAGCCTGAAGTAATTGGGCTTAAGGGTCTTGCTCAAAGGCCCAATGATGAAATCACTCTGCCAACCATGAGATTTTAACCTCCAACTTTCTGATCGTGGATACAGTTTCCTAAACCACAGAGCCGTACAGCACCCCCAGAAATCTGTTACCTTGTGCATTTATTCCTCAAGCAGATGTTTTTTTATCCAAAACCACATACATCTGAGAATGCAGGGTCAGCCAGCCCCTGGAGCAACTGGGGTTCCGTGCCCCAATCCACTAAGCCACACACTATGCTTTAATGATGTACAGCAGTCGTGGCCAATCTTATCTGCAAAGGGTCAGTACATATGCAGGTTTTTGGGATAACCTTTACATCAGCTGTTCAAACCCAGGTGTGAGGACTCTTCAGCCAATCAGTCCTCTACTTGGTAATCTAATTAGGGAGTTGCAGAGAGAACCCACATACTGTATACAACGGCCATCTCTGGATAAGATTGTCCACCTCTGTTATACAGCCATCCCTAAATCATCATTCACTTACACCCTGTCTTATTTTATAGGCCTATAAGAACAAGGACCATTTTTGTTCAATGTTAATCACAGCAAATCAAAGCTAAAATTAAAACTTGACACAATTTAGCCCTGCAATACACATGAATCCTGTCTATATTCTACTGTGTAAATCCCTGACTTCCACCCTGTAATTGCTGAGCCTCTCCAGCACAAGTGGTTATTAAAAACTGAGGCAATTTTAAATGATAGAATGATAGAGACATTCCATAGTAATTCACCTGATCTTTGACCTGTGCTTTACTGGCTGGATTTGGAATTAAGGCCAAATATGAATTAAAGTCACTTACCTGATAGCTTTCTTTGTAAGGCACTTAAAACTATGATTAGCACAACAATAAGCGTAACAGCAAAACACAGCACTAAAATCAACCAGTGCAGGGATGAATAGCCTAAAAAAAAAACACATTTCATTAAGCATTTTTCAAAAATACATGTTGCTTAGCACACCTTAACCGACACAAAAAGCATGTAACACGAGCATAACCAACCCATGCAACCCTTCAAGTCATTTCCTAAATTGAAGCACAAATCTTCACCTTTCTCAAATAGGTGCTTGACAACATACTTAGTAAATTTTAAAATATGGGATCTTTCCCACAAACATTTCAGAGATATTTTTACCTCATACTGAAACAGACACTTTAGTAACCAAAGGAAAATTATTTTAAGTGTATTTTGACATTAAAGTTATAGAGAGAATCCTCAAGGTCAGGGGACCCAAAAAGGGATAAAAGGAATAATAGCTACAAATCAGTCGGTAACAAAAGCTAAGATCAGGAAGCCAGAATATCTGTCCTAGAACTAAGCAGTAAAGCAGACATCAAGGAAGTGGGATTCAAACTCATCAGGAAGGGTAGCAGGGAAAAACACACTCACTAAACCAAAAGAAGGAGCAGCAGGCACACAGGGAGAAGCGGCAATCAGGATCGAAGCTCTTGATGAGCTCATAGCAACAGCACAGTGCAATTCAGTGTGTCAATCAAGGGAAACCAGAAAGAGGAGTGAGACAGAGCTGAGCTAATCCTCAGGAGAGGAAGACCTAACAAAGGGACGTGGCTCAGTGCAGTCCAGCTTCAGAGTTATGTACAATTATTAACAGTTACTGCACTTTATTCCAGTGAAATTCATTCTGCAGTTCTAACATTAAAATGTTTTATGAATGCATTGTTGTTATGAATGTTTATAAATTTCTATAAATGTGGCCAAAGTGTTACCAAAAAAAAATACATTTCCAAAAGAATATTCAGTATTTATGCCTATGGGGGCAGCGTGTGGCTCAGTGGGCTAAGCCTGTGAGCCTGTAATCACAAGGTCACTGGTTCAAACCCAGCCTCAGCACATCTGCGGGTCTTTCAGAAAGGCCCTTAACCCCCAGCTCCCTGGGCACCACTACAGATGGCTGCCCTTTGCAAACAGCTTACTCTACAAAGAGCAAGTTGAGGGAGGCATAAAAAAGAATTTCCCCACAGGGACAATACAGGATCAATAATTATTATTTCATTTTGCGTGTATTAAAGCCAGTTAGAGTACAGAACACTCATATAACAGAATGTAATACAAATTAACATGTGATTTAATCACAAAACATAATGTTGAGAAGCATATTAAAACAATTTCCTCTGGTGACTTACCCAGCGGTGATATCCTGACAGTTGTATTGGCAGAATCAGTATTTGTGTGGATTTCACACATGAACTCTCCATTATCTTCAGTCCTGACTTTCCACAGTTTCATTGAGAAGTTTCCTTTGGGAATTTCCTCAATGAAGAATTCAGCTCTTCCAGAGTATCTCTCAGGCTGAGACTCCGGTCTGATCTCTCCATCAGCATAAAGAAGGACCAAGATGTCATCGTCTGTCTTCCTCCATTCCACATAAAGCTCTGTCACGTTAACATGGGTGTCCACAGAGCAGCTAAGAGTCACATCCTCTGCAACATGTGCATAGACAGCCTCATCCACACCAGTCACCACCAGCCGCTCTGGAACAAGAACAGCAAGATTCATACAATCTGATCTTTTTTGTTTTGCCAAAGAGAACCAGATTTTCCATCCCTTGAAGTAATAAATATCAGATTGATTAGGGTGAATGTGAGCAGTGTGATACATAGGGCTGTACATATTGTTTAATAAACAATTAGTAAACATGTTCACAAACCTTGCAAACAGTTGTGTGATGATACTGAGTGGCTGCCGTATATTGAAAATTGGTGCCTTTTCCTTTACTTGGTACTCTACTGTAACTTGCAACATTGTGTCATACGAGTTGCAAAGCTAAACTCAGATAAACCGGCTATTTTTGAAAACCACCCAGACGACCGGATGGGGCTCCAAGGAGAGGATGTGTCCAGGGAAACCGGGATGTATGGTAACCCTAAGATGGACTAACTTACCTACTTGCCGTATTGCCACCCGTGTTTCCTGGTGCTCCTGCTTTGTATAAACCACACACTTGTACACCCCTGCATCTGCAGTCCTCACATCCTCAAGCAGCAGAGAGAAATTGCCTTTGGGGATTTCCTGAGAGAAGAAGCTCGCTCTGCTCCTGTAGGCGTCCCCCTGTGATTCAGGTCTGCTCTGACCCCCCTGGAATAGGTGCACGATGGTGTCTGAGTCAGTCCTTCTCCAGTCCACCTTCAGCTCCTCCAAAGGCAGGGGTCTGTCCACAAAGCAGGGCAGCAGTACAGCTCCTCTCAGCTGGGCTGTTAGAGGACCAGCAGAGCCGTGTAGCAGGAAACCTGCAACAGCAGCACTATATGTAAAATATCTACAATCTACTCTTAGATGGTAAATAATAGACAAATCATCGATTATAAATTATCTCCGCAGTAAGCGTATATTTCCACAATAATTAGTACACCAAAAACAAGTGACTTTTCTTAAAACCGTCTTAATCATTGCCCTTAAATATATTATATGACCAGCATACGAATACAGTAGGTAAGAGGATGTATTATCATACGAGTTATATGGAACATAATTTGTGTGATACATACCGTCAGTGCTAACGACAATCCAGAACAAGATCAAAGTAAGGGCGAGACTTCTGATCTTCATTCCCACATGAATAGTTATTCTGATTACGTTCGCAAATTACCGTTTCTATACGACGGGAAAAAACGTAATATTTCAAACATATATAGCTTGACTTAATACAGTATATCTTTATAGACAATGCTGTCTTTCTGACCACACTTTCGGATTCAGTTCTGATTGTACTTTCAACTATTACCTAACACGCTACGTTAAACAAAAGGGAAGAAATAAACAAAAATGTTGAATAACCAGCCGGCGTTCTGACAAGTTCAGCTACCTATCGAGACGTGCTATCGAGCCTTTCTGCGCATGTGCAGTTCCACCGTTTTAGGATTATGGTTAGGGTTAGTATGGGTAAGCGTTTTAGGTTTTTTGGGGGGGGGATTAGGGTTAGGGCTATCGATTAGCACTACGGTAGCCTAACTCGACAAAGTAGCTAAACTCGTCAGAACACCGGCCCGCCTCTACATCTGAATGCAGATATTACTACAGCCGTATACATGGGGTTACGTCTGATCGAGTAACGTCCGATCGCATTTACGTCCAGGCTCCATAGTAAATAATGCACATTAAATAGGAGATGCTTAAAAGCGGACGTAGTGGGACATTACTGAGTGTATCGTTTATTATAAAGTGTTGTGATTTTTATATATTCATTATTATTCGCTGTAGAGTACTGTAGTATTGTACATTATATAACCTCTATAACTATCGAGATACGCCCAAGTCGATTTGACTCCGGTGGTTCAGCTGTTATGGGACATTCAGTTCACCCGTGTTCTCCCTGTAGCACGCTGATTTGAAATCATGACGTCATGTAATTTAAGTGTTCTCATAAATTGTGTACCTGAGGAAGATCTGATGTGTGTGTGTGTGAGCGGGTTTACCTATCCTTATGGAGACATAATGTCCCCATAACGTGATAAATATCTGTTTTTTTTTTTTCCCTTATGGGGACCGGTTTCCTGGTCCCCATAAGGGAAAACTCTATTTTATAAAAATCGGTGACTGCTATGAAAAAACTAAAAATGCAAAAACTCTTGTATTTTGTTAGGTTACTTATGGTTTTGGTTGGGCAGGGTAGGGGTTAAGGTTGTCATAGTTAGCGTTAGCATTTTTCCCATTGAAATGAATGAGCGGTCCCCATAAGGATATGTTTACCCTACATGTGTGTGTGTGTGTGTGTGTGTGTAGAACATAGGTGTGGATTTAGGGGGGGACATGTCGACTTGAAAAAACTCACATTACTTGTTTATCATGGTATTTTACAAACCTTAAGTTATCATTGACAACCTCCTGTAAAAACTATCACAAATTTAGGTCAAGTGAGCATGGGGGCCAGTCAATGGTATCAATTCCTTCATCCTCCAGAAACTGCCTTCATACTCTTGCCACATGAGGCCAGGCATTGTCGTGTACCAGGAGGAACCCAGAACCCACTGCTCCCGTATAGGGTCTGACAATGGGTCCAAGGATTTCATCCCGATACCTATGGCAGTCAAGGTGCTGTTGTCTAGCCTGTAGAGGTCTGTGTGTCCAGCCATGGATATGCCGTCCAAGACCATCACTGACCCACCATCAAACTGGATAATGCTGAACAATATTACAGGCAGCATAACATTCTCCGTGGCTTCTCACCCTTTCATGTCTGTCACAGGTGTGCAGGGTGAAGCTGCTGTTACGTCCAGGTCTAGGCAGACGACTCGCAACAGATGTTGCAAAGTATTTTTGCCATGGTTTGGAGCCTTACTGAGTACTTACTTGTCTTTTGTCTTCCCCGTTTGCCCTGCCTGCCTGCCCTGTCCTGCACTTCTGACCCGTCTCCATCGTCCATCCTACCCTTTCGTCATCCAGTCCTGTGCCTTCCCGTAGGACTGACCTCTCCGGTTTCTGACCTCCTGCACCGGACCCGACTACAATTGTGGATTTGGCTTTGTTTGTACCTGGTGTTCAAATAAAACTCCCAGTCTCCTGCACTACGGGGTCTGCCTCCTGCCTGCTTTCCCGGCTTCACAATATATAAGATTTTAACACCCCTTGAAGCTGTTCAGCCAAATGGCTACTTTTATATTAGTTTAAATACTAGAACTCGTGGCCATAGGTGGAAATTAGCGGGAGAACATTTTAAACTGAATTTGAGGAAGCACTTCTTTACACAGTGTGTAGTTAGAGTATGGAATAGTCTTCCCGCTAGTGTAGCGGAAGCTAAAACCCTGGGTTCCTTTAAATCAGAGCTAGATAAGATTTTAACAACTCTGAGCTATTAGTTAAGTTCTCCCCAAACAAGCTTGATGGACTGAATGGCCTCCTCTCGTTTGTAAATTTCTTATGTTGTTAGTTACTGTAAGTGTCAGAGAAAAACAGTAAATTGGTACAATTCCCAATTTGTTTCATTTGGTTGCTTTGGACATTTTCTCTAAACGGCGTTAAGGTTCTCTCAACTGCTTGTGGATTTCACAAAACAGCTTGTACACTGCAGCAAAAAATTTGGATAAACCACAAATTAAGTAATTCATTCAAAACCTGTCATTCATTCAATGCAGTTGTCAGTCATTTAGTAAATGCCACTAAAATGTGAAATCTCTGTATCACTGCCTACCGTCATACCAGTCAAAATGTTTAGTTATTGTAACCAGTGAGTGACGTGGGCTACGTCACTCACAGATCACATGTTGGGCTGCGGTACACTGGTGACTGGTTTATATGGTTACTATGGCAGCGTTCCATAAATCCAAGCTTCCTGATTTGTGTGGGTTATATGCGGGGCTACCTAGGTAGGTTGTTTATGCGGTTACCAAGGTAACCTCCGTAACTTTAAATTTCCAGCATTGCACAGCTGTTATTGCTCACAAAATTATACTGTTTGGTGTCATTGAGGATAAAAGCCATGGGATGCCGGTGGTAGGGGGCGTGGTCCGGTGTTCTACCCGCATTCATTTGATGGACAGGGATCTTTGTGAGCTGCTGGTTCTCCTGTGTCATGCTGTAGCACATGGTATTCAGTTATGTTGCCTGGATGGCGTGGTGGTGGAGGTGATGTGTGTTTGTTTTGTTTGTAATGACAAACTATTTCCTTTAGACATGTTATCAGGTTGAAGGGGTTACGTGTCTGGGTTTATACTGAAGCCCAGGTAGGATGCTATTTATATACGTTGTGCATATAATTATTCTAAATCCGTGTGCATCATGGCTATGGTATTAATTGTGTGCATATGTTTGCAGGAGTTGCCATTTCTGTTTTGCCTGTACATTTATTTTGTTTTTTCTTTTGTTTGTGATAAGGTGATGTGGCTTTTTTTATTTTGGTATCTTGTTTGACTTTTTTTGAGTGAGTGAGTGGCAATGACTACTGCTGGTGTATATGTTTTTTTTTTTTTTACTAAGTTCAGCTTTAGAGTACTGGTTGCTCTAATTTGTGTCCTGAGGGTATTTATCCTTTATTCTCTTTCCATCTCCAGAGCCGATGAACATGGTGCTGGTGTTTTGGTGGGGCCTTTTCTGCACTGCATGGAGTGGCTAAGGTGCGAGTCAATAAGCACTCACCCTATATTGTGGTTTTCTGTGTGACTCTGTGTGTGTGTTAGTGATATATCACCTTGATACTTGAGCTCTTGGTGTGTTTGCTGTGTTGAAATTCCTTTCCCCTCTTCCTCCAGGTAACCACTCTCATTGGCTTGCATATTGGCTTAGGTTTGCATCTAGAATTGGACTGCCAGTACTCTGGGTTTTGTAACTTCCTGGCTTCCGATCTGTGGTTTTAGCCATGTTTTCTTTTTAAAGGCTTTATTTGCATTAATAAATATTGCCCAGTTACTGGTATATGAGTCTCTGTGTCGTTTATGTGATGTAGCTGTGTCTGAGGGAATCCTGTAGTCATACATCATAAGGGGCTGGGCCTTAGGTGCCATAGTCTGGTGTCCTACCTACACTTAGTGACCTAGCACCCCAAGGTTACAATCATGTTGTCAACATGAAAATATACTATGGAAGTATTTTAAAAATTAAAATGGATCAATTGTTGCACTATTCACTTCACTATCATTTCTCTATATCTGGAAGCTTTGAAAATAAATGAAGTTATACGTTACAGTAAAAATGTACACAATGTCTTAGTTATGTTGGAATGAAGAAGGCCAACTGTACATCATGTGTTGTCCTGTTGCTCCTACTGGTTTGGCCACATATTTTCATCTACATCACATCTGATATGTATGTAATGCTCTCTTGCATTAGGAAAAAAAAATCTTGTATGCATCAGTCACACTCTAAAAGAATCTGCTGGGATGTCACCACTTGCAGTGAGTAACGAAACATGAATGTGTGGCTGATGACAAGCAGTTGCTGATTTTCCACGGATACAAACTTCTTATGTAAATAAATAGTAAAAGACAAACATTCATATCCATGCGTCAAATACATACATAGAAACACTGAGCTACTAGTTGTTTGTTCCAATAAACCCTCTATTTTTCAACTATTTCCCATACAGTTCATCATTGAAGGAACCTTTCTGACCATTGCATTAGCATTTTTGTATGTGATGACTTACACCATGCACATGTTTACATGTTTTGCAGAGTAGTAGTAAAGAAACGAGGAACATATCATTCATTTTGGCAATATAACTAATACAACTGACTTTTGGACTAATTCAAAGTGCATCCAAAAGTCCGGCCGAAACTGAATCATTTGTGAATGAATGAAAAATGAAAAATGGCATTCTGTTGTGAAAAAAGAGTGCGCAGGTTTACATATGTGGTTATGAGAAGTACCATTTTCATTTGAAAAATTGTCCAAAGCAACTGAGAAAAACTAATATCAAACTAAGTAAGGGAAATCAGATATTTGGCTGCTCTTCTCATTGTAAGAGACCACTATAGGAACCATTGAGCTTTTGCCTGTTGTTACAAATGCAAAAAAGTGCATACCGCAGCGCCAGTGGGGCATGCAAGTCCCAGCATGCCCTGTAAGTAATTGTAAATAGCCCTTGTATTGTTGTTGTCATGTTATTATTAATACTTGTATTTCCTGATTGTTGCTTGCATGTTTGCCCAGGTCTTATGTGCACCATTCCCGATCCTCATGTGTCCTTAGCTGTGTATAAATCTCCCACTGTATGTGCATCTTACTGTTCAGCGTCTGACTTCCTTGTGTTTCATCCACTGTGTTGGGTTCAATGCTCGTTGGGTGCCTCATATAGTCCTTTTAAGGACTGCAATAAAGAGCATGTTCTTCCCAGCAATCAAGTCTCCTGGTCCTTTCCTGCTCTTGCGATGCCTCGGTCATCCCAGAGCTACGATTTACACGGTACTAGTCTGGCACTTCAGGGCCACATATGCTCAGTTTCAAAGAGCCAAAATCCTGTGGATTTTGTTTGTGCAGACCTATGCCCTGTTATTGCAAACACTGCAGGCCAAATATGCCTATCCGGTTGTTAAGTGAGACGTCACGCACCCATTTCCGGGTCCTCCGATCCCACAGGAAATGAACAATGGCGGAACCGGTGAACCTGTTTACTATTACCTCTTTCTTTAGCGATACACCAGCTAGCGTTAAAAAAGGACTAAATTCTTTCAAGTCTGACAGGGTGGTTAGTGTAGCAGTTCTTCCAGGTGGCGTTATCAAGGGTAGTGTGCAGGCATCCATGAAAAAGAAGATTTACGAGGTTGAGGTGAGGTAGACGTTAGCAGTAAGCTAGCTAGTTCATCTTTCCTAATAAATTAACACTAAATCATATAAAACCACTATAACAGTGGCTGTAAATGAAGATGGATCTAATTGAAAAACTACCAGCAATGTTTTGCAGTGTTAGTGAAGTAAGGGTTATTTATATACAGAAATACTGTGGTACCTCAGAACTCGAAATTAATCCGTTCAGAACTCCGGATCGAATCCTAAAAAGTTCAAGTTCTGATCGAATTTTCACCATAAGAAATAATTGAAAACCAATTAATTGGTTCCCGGACCCAAAAAAATTACACCTAAATATGTTTTTATTTGTATTTTTTTAGCATTTAAACACAAAATGAACAGGATAAAACAAGAAGGGCATATACTGTACTAAACACATCTAAGCACAAAACAGTAATTTGTAAAGTAAGAAAATAAATATATCCAAACAATGTGTCCTGCCCCGATCGTCCACTCCTTCCGTGTGCCATGCCCCCTCGTTAACCACCTGTGGAATCCCCATCTGATCAGCTGTTTCTGGTTGTTGTCATTAGTCCTGCGTATTTAGTCTGCGTTTCAGTTTGTTTCCCCAGTCCGGTCATTGTGTCGTCCGTCTGGGTTTTGCCTGCCTTACCTGTAATTATAAATCCTGTATTCCCGATACCCTGACGCCTGCGCCTTTGTCTCCGTTCCGTCCCGCTGGGCACAAAACAATATTATTATAATTAAATGTATTAATGGTTTATTATTAATATTAAAATAATGTTTAATTTTTAGATGTATTTTATTATATAATAATAATTACTGTTACTGTCTATCATTGTCAATGTATTTTTACAGTGTAAATATATGTATTCAGCTAGTGTAAACATGCACGATGCTATCACAGCTAATGCGAGGCTGAGACTGAAGCTTTACCCTTTGTTTCCGCTGAGAGACGTGCCGCTTGACTCATTTCCCCGCGTGTACAAGTTATCTTAGGTCGGCGTTCACTGTTCGACTTCTGAGATTCAGCTCGAATTCTAGGTCATATTTTTTCTAACTGGTTGATTCGACTTTTAAGAAATTCGAGTTCTAATGAGTTCGAGAACTGAGGTATCACTGTATAGTTAGGCTAAGATTAAAGCCTCTCCGCCAATGTGTTCAGTAAGTGTTAGGGTGAGGGTGAAATTATTTTCAATATAGATGCATGTTGCGGGTCAGTCAGTGAGGTACAGCACCTGCAAGTGCCCAATCGGCAGAGACAAGTGTCATCGTATGGCAGCCTTGTTGATTTGGGTGGAGAAAAATGTGTCCCGCACCGACGTGGAATGCTCGTGGAAGAGGGCGAAAACACCGAAAACGGAGGATGTAGCAGCCAAAAGAGTGTCAGAGATGACGCCATCCACAACACGGGGTTAGTAGTTAAATAATTGATTTAACTTTATTATGTGAACCTTGATTATTGAAATGTGCTGACATACATGCAAAGTGTGTTGCAGTTTATGCTTAAGATGTACTGAAAGTCTGGGTTTTCCAATCCTGGTCGCGGGATTTTAATGAATGGGTCATTATCAGGCTTCTGCAGAGCTTGATAATGATCTTATTCGTTTGAATGAAGTGTTGGCATAGGTGAAACTTCTAAGACATACAGGACGGGGGGGAGGGCAGTTCTATGATTGAGAAACATTATTGTGAAGTAATAGTGGCAATTAAAATGCAATTATATAATGTCCTCAGTGAAATTATCAGTTATTATTACTCATTTTATTACACGTTTTATGTTTAAGCAGGAATCAAACGACCGGTCACCCAGGAGGACAAGGATTGAGCACTGGCATCCTTGTCACAGCTTGGGCGTTTTACTGGTATGGGGTGGATTTTGAGTCCAGAAACACCACAGGAACAGTACTTTAAACTCTTTAAAACTAGAGACAATTCATCTAGTGATTCCACACTCCACACATGTTGTGCAATGTTAAAAGTTTAATAATTTTTCATAATTTCAACGAGGTGTCAAACTGAGTGTATGCAGATATGTATCTTTTGTAAATCAGACATCAAACTGTGTTTTAATTTGAAAATATTTTTTGCACACTATGTAGCAAAAAGTAAATGGACTCATCACTGAATATCTGACAATATGTGCTTTACTTTGAATTTAGATTCTCCCTGTCAAAACATTTGATGGACTGGTGACAAGCCCAGGATTTATTCAAGCTGAAGAAAAGGCTCTTTATGTGCTTTCATCGCTTGCTGTCACGAATCTGGAGAAGCAGCAGATTGAGAGAGCTACCGTTGGCCAAACAAAGAATGCATTATGGTAAGAAAGCACATTAATAAAAACGAGTAGTATACCTTTTTTGCAACATATGTTTCAACAGGCAACTCAAAATGTTTAAAACTAATTACAGGTCTGCATATCGCAAGAAACGGATCACAGCAAGCAACTTTGGTTTGGTCTTGGCAGCAGAAAGCAGCGGAAATCTTACCCTCCTTCCTTATTCAAAACCCTGCTTGGCAAGTACAACCTCAAAGAAGGATCAAAAGTAAGTTTTGGGTACTGTGTACTGTGATTATTTAAACTGAAGTAATCTGATTCTATAATAAGCATAGTCAGTAATTGGTAAATACTGAAAGCTAATAGTTATTTATTATGAATGAAAACCATGTTTACTAACAATTAGTAATTCTATAATTTCTTATTTGTATGATATAGATTACTATATATATATACTGTACTGTGTATATATATATATATATACA